TCTGATTTAATAAAGAGATTTTTTTAACCTTTTCAAGTGTCTGTTGTTAACTTCAGACCAAGCGATATCAATTATCGCTCATACTACCAAACAAACTAGTTCATACTGCTAATAAAAGTAGTTTGTTTTACCAAACGAAGGCAAACTGTATAATTGAGATAATTCTGATACAGTTGCCAACAGCAGAGACACTTTTGGAAATATTTCGCATATTTCGTATTGCTGCTGATAAGAGTTAGTTAAACAAATACTCTTGTTCATATTAGTTTATTCTATCTGAGGCGGGATACTTCAGACCTAAAGAGTTTCCAGAACGAAATTCTAATTAAGTACCCACTGGAGGCGTCGTAACTTAGTTTACTGATCTGACGGGTGGTATCGAAATATACTCTGTCCTTGATCTCCTTCTCAATACGTAGTGATCCGCCAAATGTCTTCGAATACGAGCAACAATAAACTAAAGCTAGAAATTGTTAGCCAAACCTGGTGGCTCGCAATTAAAAAAAGTAGACCATCAGATCTGTGAAAAAAAAAAAAACATAAATTTGAGATGATCAATATTACTGCAGAGTTTATTTAAGTATAAAGCTACTTATATCAATGTCTAATATGTATAGTAAAAAACAATTAAGCATGCTGTAACGTCGAAATAGGCAAACTATGTTGAACTACTAACATCAAGTCCTAAATATATTTCAGAATTACAGAGAACCATGTAACCGGAGACGTAGAAATATATCTCCAGTCTTAAATGACACCTCTTGAGCTTTCTATATGTTTTCCGTTGTTTCAATAATTTATGAATACAAAATTAGAAGAAACTTCCCAAAGCTTACGTTTATCAACATAGTAGCAATATCTACAGAGTCATTAACGTTTTGGATGCTGGAGACGTGAAATATTTGCAGTGCCCTGCCCGGGCTTCGAAATCTTGACTTCCCTAAAAAGTATCGAGGGTGCTTCCAGTAACACCACGAAGGCATGCGGTAAGGAGGGAGAATATACTTTATAAATCATTGGTGTAAATGCAAAATTGGCATTCTTTTTGTATATTATTTATAAAAAAGAGAGCAGATCTATATCTCTCATTGTACTTGGTCAATTGACGAAACTTAATTTACGTTTTTCATTTTTCAAAAGTGTAATTTAAAATATATATATATATGTATATAAAAACAAACATTAAATTTTGTAAAATTTGGTGAGACATTTAACGGGAATCTGAAAAATTTATATTGGTGCACTTTTGTATCCTGTTTGCACCCATAATGATTCACTTGATGAAAATTCTTATACTGTAAGGCACCCTATTTTCATTTCCCTTTCATTATACATGATCGGAAAAAAAAAAGATGCATCGTTGATTATTTTGAAATAATTTTCTTTATGATATATTTGTAATCATAGTTCTTATTTCAGATAGTTTTTTTTTCTTTTTAGAATTTCATTTTAATTGCTTAAGTTGTATGCTTTTTCAAATAAGAGTTTTAAAATTTTTCACCTATTCATTCAAACTGTATACTTTAAACATATTTATTAACATATATTTTCGAGAATTTTATTTTATTTATTTTAATTGCATTTCTTTCGAAAAAGTACTTTGTGACACAGACTACGATGTATTTCAAAACTGCATACATGAAAGAGAAAATGCAGTAAAGCACACCTTCCAATGGATCGTTCAGAAAAGATATTTAAATGAGAAAGAAGTATAACCGAAAGTTTAATTTGGGATGAGATGCACACATTGCTTTAAGCAGTTTTATCATTGTGCCATTGCTTTACACAATTTTATCATTCTTCTTTCAGTTTCTTAAAATATTCATATTACATTCAATTTTTTTAAATAGCAAGAAACAAATAGCATAAGATTTTTAAAAAATCAATCTTTTATTTTAAAGAAATACCAAATTTTATGGAAAATATGTTTTTCTTTTAGTGCCTTGTCGTTTTCCTTCAGGCATTCCAGAAATACATTAAAAAGTAAAAGAGAACTTTGTTTTTTGTTCGCGATATACCGCAAACATTTTCGAAATATACTGATATTTCATTCATATAAGCAAAAGTATCGCCTTCCGTTTGATCAGTATTTGGTCAGAGTAAAACAGGGAAACAACTTTAACTATGATACTCAATATATTAGATTCACCAAAAGGAAAAAAGTCTTTAGCAGAATATCCATATGCGTTCTTGGTTAAATTCTTGAATCTTCAACTAATTTCATTGAGACTTCTTGGGATTCTCCGTTTAAGATATGATATGATGTTCTATACTTAATTTGAATTTATACGTTTATTCAGTCTAAAAACAGTAGCGAACAGTAGCCCTTCACTATTATTTCTGATGACATTTCATTTGTTTTTTCTGTTAACTCAAGTCCACTTGCTGGTATATTTTTTACCCTTTAAGTTTCCATAAATTTTGCAATCTTGTCATCGGAGAACTCCTTCTTGGTGGGTCGATTTTTTTTGTTATAGAGTGTATTTCCGACTTACCGAAGCTGAAGGAATCGAAGTTTTAGTGTATATTCATTGTGTGGCAATTAAATAAGCAGATGTATTAAAAAATAGGATGTAGAACTTAACACTGATGCAACTTCCTGTCTTAATGCAAGTACGACAGGTGACGAAACGAAAGGCTTGTAGAGGGCTGTTTTTAACACGCCTCTAAAAGTAGATCTATTCCATTTGTCTCTTTAATGTAAAAATATTAATATAAGTACAATAAGAGTAAACTTAGAGCCAGAATATTGGACGAAAATCTTGAGAATTGCAAAAACTTCAATCGAACCACACATTATTTTCTCATTATATGCTCTCATTCTCTCTTGATGCATTAGTTTCTGATATCCAAGATCAAATATCCTATTCACTTTATGATTTCTTGTTATCTTTATAATTATAAATGCATTTTGTAATGAAATGTTATGTATAAATCACTGTTTCACTCAAAACGTTTCTATATGTTTTGTTTCTTATAGTATATAGCACATAGTGAGCAAATTTGAACTAACGGGGTCAAACTCGCACATTTCTTTCCTAGAGGTAAATTTCAAAAATTTCTTTCCTCATACATTCCGCAATCAAACCTGAATAAACCCGAAAATTTTGAATGACTGTGCAGTACACTTATTTTTTTTTTTTAGATTGCGAGTTACCACTGGTGTCAGAAATAATTTGTATGGTTCAAAATACCACTTCTTCCAATGTGAGTCAGAGAAGTTAAAAGACGGGACACTTCTGGTATAGATATATGCAACTTGAAATCATATCGGTTCATTAAAGTAATATGCTGATTAATATCACGTGATCTTCATAAGGTTTTCAATTTTCTATTACTCCTTAAATTGCAAATTTCAGCTCAAATTCTAAAGACTTTTTTTTTTCCTTTTTTTCAAATGTGAATAAATACATCATGGTTGAAACTTTCTTTCACATTTTATACTATATGACGAAACATTTTGCGTTCTTGATTGAAACTCTTATTAAATATTGGCTGTAATTCTATATTTCATTGATTTTACATTAAATTGTTACGAATTATTTTATTTATAAATAAAGAAAAATATTAACAGCAATTAAATAATAGTTAAATGTATTTATTCTGCTGCCAATAAACGCACATGCCTTAGTGCTAATAAATTCCGCTTGGAACGAACGACTTGTCAAATTCGATTAACACATACAATAAGAGTTCATGCATATCACTGCTAGTGGCATTGAATGAATTCATGCATACTATTGCTAAAATGTATAAAAACGAAAAGAAATTGCCTCATAATTCTAATAACGTCTCTTGTTTCCGTTTTGGTATGAGATATTTTCTTACTCATTTCCGCATTCCTTTGTGCTGTAACTGGAAGCCTGCTCCATGCGTATTCTCGAGGTACAGAGTTCGAATCCCGGGAAGAGCAGTGCAGGTTTCTTCAGTTTTGTGACATCGATATAACCTAATGACACTACAGGCGGTTAAACCAGTTTTACCGAGGTTATTTCTCTTCATATGTCTAATGATTCTGAAATTAACACGCAATTCGCTAGTATCGAGCTTCCAAATTTAATAATTTAAATGGCTTGAAAGAGATTCAAATTGTAAATAAATCTAAAACTGGAGCAAAATATCTTAAGATGAAAAACAGAACAATGTCATGATTTTGAAGCATAAAAAAAGAATTTGCAAGAAAACTGAAAAAATATTGCAAAATACAGAAATATGAACATTTCATTAAAAAACGTATAATGAAAGTAAGAAATGAAAAATGCAGAACAAAATGAAAAATGATGTAAAACTTGAACATATATACAATATTCATAGTATATAATGTAGTTATAAGTAGTTGGAAAAAAAACCAATGTGTAAATTAGAAATTGTTAATGAATTTAGTTGGAACGTTATGGCATTTAAGGAGATAGCTGTCTAATGTTGATCAGTTCCAAAAGTATGTTTCTTCTCAATATTAAGGTACAAATATATTTGGGATTAATTATTTATTATTGATAAGAACAAATCAAGAAACGTTGAAATAATAAATGCCATTTAAGAATTTAATATTATGCCAGATTGTTTTATTTTTATATTATTAAAATAAGTGCTTTCTGATTTAGAAATCATGTCATCATGAAAACACTTTCTAGAAAACTGAACAATGTTACTTTACATATTACATTACAAAGGAAGTTAACGGCGAGTTACCACTTGAGTTAACTTTTTCAGATCATCGAATAGAATTAATTCTGGATATAAAACCAACGAGAAGCTATCGATAAACACTATAGTGACTCATGATTTTTTCCTACTCGATCACTGCTCGGGAATTTCACAAGAAGACTTGAACCCGATGAAGGAGAGTTACGGATTATATTCGTCGTCATGGCTAAGATCATTTAGGAATAAGAAAAGACAGCAGTATTTACATCATGGTGTTGATGAATTCTCACTATCATGATTATATTAAGAATCTATATAATATTTTATTCTGAAGCTCATTTCTTCTTTTCTAGTGCTACCAACAGAAGGTCCCAAAATCACTGGTGGTCTTTCTAAGTATAGAGTGGGTGACACAGTTTCTGTAAACTGCACTTCTGCAAAATCGAAGCCAGCAGCCACACTTAGATGGTATATCAATGATGAATTAGTAAGTTCTTTGAAATTATAATAATTGAATGGAATCTTAAAATGTTTCTCATCACTTTTTACTGCATACTAAAATTATTCAGTAAAAGAAGGGCTACGAAAATGTTCATCTATTTATTAAAAATATAAGTACTAGTGCAGGTATACAACACAAGTGATGCATTTAATTTTAGCGAACTATATTTTTTAATGATCCTTCTTGAATTCAGTCTCGTATTTTTAAACAATAATTATTATCTATTTTTATCGTGCTTGCGCATTATTTTATAATTATATTAATACAATTTAAGCCCAGTATGTTCTCGAATAATAAGTATTCGAGAACATACTGGGCAATTCAGAACTATTTTTTAAAAATTCGCATATATGCAAGAACACGATAACAAGCAATAATCATATAAGATCATACGGTCGCATGCGCAACTCAGACGCACAAAAAGTCGCTAAAGGAAAGATGGCCAAGAAAAAGCAAAGAAAAGCGTATTTTGGCTGTACGAGCATAAGGAAGGATGAAGTGGAAAGATGGATGATTATGTAAGGAAGGACGAATAGAGAAATAACGGATAAGCAACTCATTTATGAGGCATCTTGTAAGAAATTTTGTCTGAAAATCTCTTTAACTGCCTATGGAGGAGGCAATGCTTCATGATGCATGTTTCTGTTTTTTGGATTTGGCAACGCCAGTATAGAAAATGCGTGGTGGTATCGAGTAAACTTTGAAGTTTGAAAACTGATGTGGATAGTCTTTATTTTTTAATTATGCTGTATGTTGAATTTAAAATATTTCTTGAACCCTGATCACATGTAAATTTTAGATTTGTCACTTATAATATTCGGGGCCCAACAGCTGCGCACGAACAGTCTTGTGAAATTTCAGAATGCATTTTAATAGCAGACTCTAATCCTAAATGACGCGGTGTCAATGATCTCTGTTGTTGAAAAATCATTCCCTTGCAATGAACAGTACAGGAACTGATTATATCAGAAGCTAAGACTTAAAAAAACATTTAATTAATGATAAACTCAAGGAAAAGGGAAGTGAATAAAAATAATTGCTTAAAAGGACAAGCGTTTCTATTGCTTCGGCATTAACCACAGTGAATGTAAAATACACATGATGTAGGAAAATGTGAGAAAACAAATGAGCAAAAAAGAATGATATTTCCAAAAACCAGAAACGTTGTTACATATCTTTTAGGAAAGGACATGTATAGTCTAGACGCAAAGTAAATCTTCAACTTCGTGAGTTCTGTAATGGTTTAAATCATAATAAGTTATTTTGCAAGAATATTGATTCTCAGTCTGAAGCCCTTTCGTATATTAGCATTATCAAATTATGAGTAGAATGCAGTTGCATCTCTATCATTTAACTTTAAGCCTTTCCCTGAAACTGCCTGTAAAGGTGTGTATTCATATTCTTGCACTGTTTATACTTCAGATACAGTCAATTCTAGAAGCCAATTAGTATACGCTGAATACTAAGTCTTAACTGATGGTGGATCAAAAGGTTATTTATTAGATCTGATTTAGCTCAAAACCTAAAATTAAAGACTCTAAGGAAAGAAAGATTATATGTTTATTCTTTTAGGTATATTCAGTAGGCTAATATAATGCAATATTATTCAGATTACCCTTGCATTGCTCTAATGATTCAATCACAGTTGAAGCTCTTCTTACAGACATTATTTCTGGAGTGTTCATAAAAATTCTCGAGAAAGAAAATTTGAAATTAGCCGATAATAGGGAGTCAGCTTAAATGTAAATCTGTTACATGTTGGGAAGTGCAAACAGGTGAAAAGAAAGGAGTAAGTAACAAATTATTTGCCGTTTCTTTCTTTATATTAGACTTCCCTTGGTTTAATTTTCGTAAGATTGTCAGTATCTATGTGTCCAATTGGTGTTTCGCATTGCATGAATGATGATGATGATTCAGTTAATGCCAATGGTAGCTATGTAACTTATTTAGTATGGAAATCACATCATGAAAATTCGGGTAAAATAGAAAATGCAAGTGACGTCTAGTGACTTAAGTTAATAAAATAAAAACAATGAATAGCTTAGGAACAATCATGATAGCATAATAAACGATCAGTTAAAGAATTAAATATTTGAGGAATACGAAATTCAATCTTGACAGTAATAAAAATGCATTTCAGGACACATTTGCCAGTGGTAAAAAAAGCATAAAAAAACTAAAGTCCTTATCGTTTTTAACGCATCTTCGAAATGTAACAAAGAGGTATCTCTGAACCATTGTTTGGTGCTTGGTCCAAATTTGAATCATTCTATTTTGGACTAAATATTGTGTTTCAGACAACACAAACATGCGTTTCCAGCCGATTGAAAAGGCATTTCTCCAGATCGGAATTTCTGAAATTCATAGAGATGTGTTATGGTTTTTATGCTTTGATAATGATTACAATTTGAAGCATTATAGACTGACTCACGTTTCTTTCGATCTGTCAAGCAGCCCTTTCAAACTGGTGTACACTATAAAAACACAAAAAGAAAATAACGGTACAAAACACAGATATTTTTGAGATGTTGAGCGGTTCGTTCTACTAGAGGATGTTTTGTATGGAGCAAATTCCGTGGAATAGGCTAAGTACTGGAGCTTATAGCGTGCTTAAAGATGCCGGAATGACTTGCGTCAGTTTAGAACAAATTAAAAGGAACTCAAAAAACGTTGGGATGATAGTGGAATAACTAAATCATGAAATGAACAAAATAGCTTATTAAAAGTGAATGTACTTAACTGGTATACTAGTAGACATGTAATTTCCTTAAGCGTAGATAACTTGTGAGAAACATTAAATAATTGTAGAAACACTACAAAGGGAAACATAGTATAAATAACTGGTAGTACTTTCAATCCAGTACAGTTCCTGGCACCATTTGTATTACGTGCATCATTCATAATGCAAAACCTTTGGAAATCGGGCTTAGAATGTGATGACGAAGTTTAAGCAATTGTGGTCCAAATGGTGCGGCGAAATTGAAATTTAAAAGTTAAAGAAATTTGAAATTATTGCTCGCCAATATTTCTACAGCAAATTGGATCAGAATTAAGATACCGATTGGCTATGATGAAGCTAATTAAGCGTATGGCACAGTTGCATATTTTAGATCAGTTGAGGACTGGGAGGTAGCGTTCATTATGGCAAAATCTAGAACTGCATCTGTAAAACATTCGCACTGAAAAGGCTAGAGATGTTAGGAGCATTAACATCGACAAAACTTGCTAAAAATTTAAAAGGTTTTTTTTTAGTTCATGAATAAAAAATCTATTTGGGAACTGATAGTATGATAGTAGTGAATCACCATGTATATAACAATAGATGAACGGTTTTTAACTTTGAGATCGAATTTTTACTATCTGAGGCTGTCTCATATTTTTCTGACAATTAACGATTCCTGAAACTTTTCAAATTTACAAGATAATCTTCTTAAAATCACAGAAACCTTTACGTAGCAATTCAGTTGGCATTTTAATTAATCTGCGTTTTAGACCATATGTAATAAAAAGAGCATGTATATTTACTAACTCATCAATGACATATTTATTTATATACCTTTCAGTTTAAGTTTACCTATAATAACAAAATAACAAAATGCATCTCTTTTAATTTTCCCTATTTTATTTATTTATTTCTCCTTTATTTCATTCTTCTTCTTCTTCTTTATTTTTACATATCTCATATCCATAATTATAAAAACTAGTATACTAAAGCGCAGCGTAATCAATTAAATCTTTCCGACAAACCGTATTATATTTTTAAAAAATGAATTAAACTAAGCCTGAACCACGAACCCAAAAAATAATCATGTCCAGTTTTTGGATGAATTCCCTTTTCACTTTTTATTTATTGATTGATTTTATTATTCGAACAAAATTGCCATTTTATTTTGTAAACTAATTTATGTTGTGCATTTGTATGCACTAATAGTGTGATGTGAATTATATGTCTTAAATAACTAGTAGCGTGTTTATTGATAGTTTAGGGCAATTAAATTTTGAGCTGTTAGAAATAATTTCTTCGGAAAAGATTTCAGTATTGAAAGTGGAAGTTTCAAAGATTTTAATTCAAGCTAAATAATTGTCTCGGAACATTTCAAGTTAATTCTTACCATTCTGTGAGGAATGTTGTTATTGCCCCTTAAAGAGAAAGAATAAATATTATCAAATGTAATTTAGCTGTGTTCTGCGTTACTTGGTAATATGTTTTGTATGTAATTACCAATGCAGATAAGTTTATGACCTTAAATTAAGAAAAAAATCAAAGAAAGAAAATTTTATTGATTATATCATTCTAAATATACAAAAACTTAATACTATTTTTAAAAGTTCGTTATTCTCGAAAATGCTGTGTTACAAATCGAACTATTTTAATTCCTTGTTCTAAAATTAAGGTTCTGAAATTAATCGGTGCGATATCTGTAAAGATTCATTTCGGATAAACGCGTTTCTGTTGCATGTGGAAATAACAGTTAGTGCATTTATTATTCCAGAAAAGGGAATTAATTTTGCTTTTTAAACGTACGAAGAACTTTCAGCGGGAACATAAAAGTTTCTCACTTTTCTGTTCGGAGAATTTCAATTTCTGTTCGGGAGATTAAAAAATATTATTCCTTTGTGCATAAACATTAGTTTTTCACATGGACTGAAGTCAGTTTTTTCGTTATCTTACAAAAAGTTTGTTTCGTTTTATATTCGGAAATTCTATCCTTCAGGCTATAAATTTCAATTACGTTAAGAATGTATGTCCCTGCATTTTTCATGAGATTTTTCTTTCTAATACAAATATAAATATTCCTCAATTTATAACTATGAACATATAGCCAGAAATCCTTTTGTTACTCTTTTATATACTTAGTCTTAGAGTACGTGTTTAAAATGAAAAGAATGAATAACTTTTTATTTTTCTTTTCTTTTTTAACATGGCAAGTCAGAAATCTAATTTACGAATTTAAATAAATTAATTTCTTTAATTTATTGAAACG